GGAAAAAAAAGAAAAAATCAATGAAACTAAGAGTTGGTTGTTTGAAAAGATTAAAAAATCGACAAACCTTTAGCTAGACACACAAGGATAAAAAGAGAGAAGGCTCAACTAAATAAAATAAGAAATGAAAGAGGAGGAATTACAACGGACACCTCAGAAATACAAACGATTATAAGAGAATATTAGGAAAAGCTATATGCCAACAAATTGGATAATCTAGAAGAAATGGATAAATTCTTAGAATCATACAACCTTCCAAAACTGAATCAAGAAGAAATAGAGAATGCAAATAGACCAATCACCACTAAGGAGATAGAATAGTAATCAAAAATCACCCCAAAAATTACATTCCAGGAGAAGACGGCTTTCCTGGTGAATTCCACCAAACATTCAAAGAAGAATTAATACGTATCCTTCTCAAACTCTTCCAAAAAATTGAAGAGTAGGGGAAGCTTCCTGACTCGTTTTATGAAGCCAATGTTACCTGAAACCAAAACCAGACAATGACAACACACACACACACAAATTAAAGGCCAATATCATTGATGAACATCAATGCAAAAATACTCAACAAAACACTAGCAAATCAAATACAATACATTAAAAAGAGCATACACCATGATCAACTGGGATTTATTTCAGGAATGCAGAGATGGTTCAACATCTCCAAATCAATCAACGTGATACACCACAATAACATAATAAAGAATAAAAATCACATGATCATCTCAATAGATGCAGAGAAAGCATTTGACACAATATAGCATACATTGATGATAAAAAACCGAATAAAATGGACATAGAAGGAAAATACCTCAAAATAATAAAGGCCTTAAATGCCAAACCCACAGCTAATATCATCCTCAATGGTGAAAAACTGAAAGCTATCCCTCTAAGAACAGGAACCAGACAAGGATGCCCAGTTTCACCACTCTTACTTACAATAATGTTGGAAGTCCTAGCCAGAGAAATTGGGCAAGAAAAAGAAATAAAAAGGATCCAACAAAATGGAAGTAGTAAAACTGTCACTATTTGCAGATGACATGATTTTATATATAGACAACCCTGAAGAATCCACCAAACAACGTTTAGAAATAACAAATGAATAAAGTTGCAGGATACAAAATTAACATATGAAAATCAGTTGCATTTCTATACACTAGCAATGAAGTAGCAGAAAGAGAAATTAAGAATACAATCCCATTTCCAACTGCACCAAAAAAAAAAAATACCTAGGAATAAATTTAACCAAAGAGGTGAAAGACCAGTACACTGAAAACTATAAAACATTGTTGAAAGAAATTGAAGAAGACACAAAGAAAAAGAAAGATATTCCATGCTCTTAGATTGGAAGAATTAACATAGTTAACATGTCCATACTTCCTAAACCAATCTACAGATTCAATGCAACCCCTATCAAAGTTCCAAAGACATTTTTCACAGAAGCAGTACAAAGAATCCTAAAATGTATATGGAACAACAAAAGACCCTAAATACCCACATGCAAAAGAATGGAAGTAGACCATTATCTTACACCATACACAAAAATTAACTCAAAATGGATTAAAGATTTGAATGTAAGACCTGAAACCATAAAGCTTACAGCAGAAAACATAGGCGGTATTCTCTTACATCTGTCTTAGCAGTATCTTTTCGAATACCATGTCTCACAGGTAAGAGAAATGAAAGAAAAAGACAAATTAGACTGCATCAATCTAAAAAGCTTCTAAAGAGAAAAGGAAACCATCAACAAAATGAAAAGACAACCTAAAAATTGGGAGAAGGTATTTGCAAACTACATATATGATAGGGGGTTAATATCTAAATATATAAAGAACACATACATCTCAACAATAGAAAAACAAACCACCCAATTAAAAAATGGGCAAAAGATCTGAACAGACATTTTTCCAAAGAAGATATGCAGATGGCCAACAGGCACATGAAAAGATGTTCAATGTCACTAACTATTAGGGAAATGCAAATCAAAAATACAATGAGATCTCACCTTATGCACGTCAGAATGGCTACAGTTAACAAGACAAGAAATAACAGGTGTTGGAGAGGACATCGAGAGAAGGGAACTCTCATACACTGCTGAAGGGAATGCAAACTGGTGCAGCCACTATGGAACACAGTATGGAGATTCCCCCAAAAAATTAAGAATAGAACTACTACATGAACCTGTTATACCACTGCTAGGTATTTATCTAAAGAACACGAAAACAGGAATGCATAAAGATACATGCACCCCTATGTTCATTGCAGTATTATTCACAATAGCCAAGACTGGAAGCAACCTAAGTGCCCATCAAGGGACGAATGAATAAAGACAATGTGGTATATATACACAATGGAATACTACTTGGCTATAAAAAAAAAATGAAATCTTTCCATTAGCAAGAACATGGGTGGAACTTGAGGGTATTATGCTAAGCAAAATAAGTCAGAGGGAGAAAGTCAAATACCGTGTGATCTCACTCATAAATAGAAGATAAAAACAACAACAAAGACATAGATACAGAGAATAGATTAGTGGTTACCAGAAGGGAAGGGGGAAGGGAAGAGGACAAAAGGGGTGACTGGGCACATGTTTACAGTGATGGATGGTAATTAGTCTTTGGGTGGTGAACAAGATGCAGTCTACACAGAAATCAAAATATAATGATGTATGCCTGAAATTTATATAATGTTATACACCAATGTTACCTCAATAAAAAAAATTATTTGGAGAGAAGTACTTTGGTTTTATGTAAATATCCGATTCCTAATTACATTTTCAGTTTATTCATTCATTTATTTATATGAATATGGAATCATGTTTTCCTGCTATACTAAATGGATTATATTATGTTACTATCGCTACTATTTACAACATTCAAATTGTCCCAGATTTGGCTATTGGGAGTCCCTTCAAAGTGTTTTTGTGTTCCTTCGACAAATCTCCATGATTCTTTGAACACTTCCTTATTTTCTGACACAAGATGTTCCAGGCTCACTTGTATTTTCTCTGCCTTAGTCCTGGAATCAATAATTTCTCCAAGGAGCTCCAGTTCCTTTCAGTGGAGAATAGTACTTTAAGATATGATCTGGGTGATACATGTGCTTACTGTTATTAAATATTTTAAGGTCAGTACCAAAGCCATACCAGCATCTTAAGAAATGTTCACAGTCCCTTTGCTCTCACCTACAATTTGCAATATCTCCGCCAAATTTGGCTCCTGTCATGGAATGAGCTCACTGATATTTCAGTCACAGGGGGGACCCCTTTTTGGGGTGTGGATTAGTCAATGATTTCTGAGTTCCCAGGTCTGTAAGGTTTTAGTGGTTCCATTGTGTTCCTTTTACTTCCTCCTACACAGCTACTTCCTTCAGCAGGTCTTATTTTCTTGGTGGGTTGGCCCCACCGGCTGGTATCTTTGGTGCGTTCCAATTTGGGAAACGTGGAACAGGCTTTTGCTTTTTGTTTGTATTCCTAGTTTTACTCTCTATTTTGTGAGAGAATTGGGGGAGGCTAAAATACCATGCTGATGGTATTTTTCTTCTTATTCATAAAACACATTCCTCCCAAGGTAAGACTCCCTCCTATCTTGGTTCTTGTCCTAAAATTTTCTTCCTTGCTGTTCCTTCTCACACCATGTCACTGCTTTTTCCTCAATAACTCAGCCTGTAAATATGAGAAGTATGCAGAGCTGCATCTTAAGGTACCTCTTTTTACCCTTTTCAAATTCTTTCTAAATGATTTGTTCATGGTTTTAATTCCCATCAACCACACATTTTAGATCCCTTGTCCTCTGAGATCCGGAATCATACAACTGTGCACTTAACTCTAATGGAGGACTTAGGACCCCCAATTTAACACATATAAATTCTCCTCAAGGTTTCCCCCCATTTTTCACCTTTCCTAAAATATTTGCATTTTTAATATCTGAAAATAAGTTGTGGCATCCAAAAACCTACAAATAATTCCTGACATCTCCCTTTCTTTCCATCTTAAGAAACTATTGTAGATTATTACGAGAATCATTATTTTTCAAATATTACTATATTGTTGTGCCTTCTGATACACTTACATTAATTTTATAAGAATAATTTTTACTCTCCATACTGCATGAATCAATTAAAAATGTGTTTTGTTACATTTATTATAATATCCCAAGTCCTGCATCATGACTGCATGATCAGACCCTTTCCTACATTTCCTATGCTCCCTCCTGGACTTCTTCCCCTGACTTGTCCTTTAGCCTCATTGTATTTTATTTTATTTTCCCTATGCCTAAAATATTCTTCCTTATAGTCCCAGTTATTTCTTTCTTTCTTTTCATTTTTATCCTTCCCCCATCTGTTTATTCCATTTTGTTGAGCTTTTCAAGTTTCTTTCTATCCAAGTATCACTTCACTTGCTGACCCTGAAAAGTTTTCAACAAGCTCTTTACATGACCAGATTCATTCCTTCACTTTCAGGTTCCAACATAATTATTTCCTCAGAGAAAGTCTCCTAGACCACTTTATCACAAAACTTCTTTTCCCCATGTATTCCATACTTATTTCCTTCTTGGTACCTACCATAAGCTATTTATATTTCATTTATTTATATGTCCATTTTTAATTTTCTGTTTGTGATGGACTAATATAAGATATTTAGGACATATCTATCTTGTTAACCATTTATAAGACAAACTAACATAATCCCTGGGATGCAGTAGATGTTTATTACATATTTCTAGAAAGAATGAATGAATTTCACCTCAAGACTCTAGTAAACCCCAGAAAGTCATCATCAACACCCATTTTCTCTCTATACTATAACATTGAATATAGAACTATTATACACATTTTCTACATATCAAGTACTCATTTTCTTAATAAGCTGTAAACAGGGACTTATGTATTTAATAAAAATATTCTTACTCAAATTATATTGCAAGAGATTATATGTCAAAGTCTACTACAAATATTTCCTAAGAGAAGCTATAGATTTTACAAAAATAACACTTTACATTGCCTCAGGATTCATTATGCATGTAGTTCCTGGACAGTAACAATTGTAGATGTCATCATATGTTAATCCAAGATTAATTCCAAGCAACTGTGCCATAACAACTGCAAATGCATCTAACGTTATCATCTTTGGATACTAAATACAAAAAAAAAACAGAATTGTTGTCTAAGTTATTTCTGCACGCCCTTGATATTTTCAATAATTTGTGGGCATATTACTTAAATGCAAATACATATTTAAAGAACTATTATACCAAATCATTATTTTCTTAGGAACATGGAAAAAAATTAGGTAAATTTTGTTATTCTTTTTGAGTAATAGGGTTTTTAATACAAATGGCATTGACATATAACAAAGGAAGATTATAGCTATAATGTTTTTATTACATGTTACTGATTTAAATTCCAATAAACTTTAAAAACTTTTTGAGAAGAATAAACATTGTTTCAATTTCAATAAGCATTGTTCACTTTTCAAGTGAACACTTGGAAAAAATACACAGATTCTTGAGGGTTGAATTGGTATCAGTTTGACTTTCAAAATAGTTTTAAGAGAGAGAGTCAAATTATTTTTTTCTAAAGGGAGAATACTATAACACCTTGCAAGTGGCATCTTTTTTGTCTTAGGAAAAAAAAAACTTGAGAAGCAGTGATGTCAGCAAGACACAAAGCCTGGGCAACCAATGACCTTTTTATTATCTCCCATAGTTTTGCCTTTTCTAGAATGTCACAGAGCTGGAATCATACAGTATGTAGCCTTTTCAGAGTGGCTTCTTGCACTAACGATTATGCATTTAAGCTTCCTCCATGTCTTTTCACTGCTTGATGGCTCATTTTTTTAATTACTAAATAATATTCCTTTACATGTATTTACCCAAATTTGTTTATTAATTCACTTATTAAAGGCCATCTTGGTTTCTTCTGATTTTTGCCAATTATGAATACAGCTGCTATAAACATTCACGTGCAGGTTTTTGTGGTTATATAAGTTTTCAACTCATTTGGGTAATTGTCAAAAAGAACATTTACTGGATCATATGGTAAGAGTATATCAAGTTTTGTAAGAAATTGCCAAACTGTTTGCCACAGTGACTGTACCATTTTCCATTCCCATCAACAATGAATGAGAGTTTCTGTTACTCCACATCCTCATGGTATTTGGTATTGTCAATGTTTTGCACTTCCAGTATGATGCTAAATAGGACTAGTGAGCTACATTCTTGCCTTGTTCCTCATCTTAGTGGGAAAGCATTTAGCTTCTCAGCACTAAGTAGTGATGTTAGCTGTAGGTTTTTTGTCGATGTTCTTTCTGAAGTTGAGGAAGTTCCCTTCTATTCATAGTTTGCTACAATTTTTTAAATCATAAATGGTGTTAGATTTTGTCAAATTCTTTTTATGCATCTCTTGATATGATCATATGATTTTTCTTGTTTAACCTATTGATGATATCGATTAAATAAATTGATATTTGAATGCTGAACCAGCCTTACATATGTGAAATAAATTCCAGGTATAAATATCAACAAGGATATATAAAATATTAAAAAAAGAAATTCTGGAGCTGAAAAATACAATAAATGAACTAAAAAATTCACTGGAAGGATTCAAAAGCAGACTTTATCAGGAAGAAGAAAGAAGCAGACCTGAAGACATGTCATCTGAAGTCACTGAGTCAGAGGAGAAAAAGAATAAAGAAAATGAAAGAATCTATGGACACTACAAGCAGACCACTATGAGTCTCAGAAAGAGAAGAGAGATACAAAGAGGCAGAGAGCTGATTTGAAGAAATAATAGCCAAAAACTTCAGAAATCTGAGGCAGAAAATGAACATTTAGATTCAAGAAGCTCAACAAAGTCCAACTAGGATAAACCCAAAGAGACCTAAACGGAGACACATTGTAATCAAACTATCATAAATCAAAGACAAAGAGAAAATCTTGAAAGTAGCCAGAGAAAAGTGACTTGTCACCTATAAGGGAGCTCCCATAAGATTACCAGTGGATTTGTCAGCAGAAACTTTGCAGGCCAGAAGGGTGGTGGGTGATATATTCAAAGTACTGAAAGAAACTTCCAACCAAGAATATTATATCCAGCAAAACTTTCCTTTTCCAAAGCAATATTTTTCCAAAGAAACTAAAATTGATGGAGTTCATTACCACTAGATCTGATCTACAAGAGATGCTAAAGGAAGGCCTTCAAGTTAAAAATGAAGAATACTAGATAGCAATATAAAGCCAAAAGAAAATTACAAAGTTCTTTAATAAAGGTAAATACATGTTCAAATATAGTAACCTGTATTATTGTAATTTTGGTGCATAAATTCACTTTTAATTCTTCCATAGAATTTAAAGGACAAAAACCAAAAAAAATTGAAGTCTATGTAATAACATAAAGTGAGAGGTAGAGCTGTAAACGAGTAGAGTTTTTGAATACAATTGAAGTCAAGTTCCTATCAGTTTAAAACTGACTGTTATAACATTAAAATGTTTTAAGCAATTGCAATGGTAACCACAAAGAAAATATCTACACAATATATACAAAAGGAAAAGAGAAGGGAACATAACATGTCACGATAAAAAAAATCAATGAAAGACCAAGGAAAGCCTTAAGAGAGGAGGAAAATGACAAAAATGCTATAGGATATAGAGGAAAAATTAGCAAAATGTCAATAGTAAGTTCTTCCTATCAGTAATTACTTTAAATGTAAATGGATTAAATTCTCCTATCGAAAGACATGGAATGGCTTATTAGATTAAAAAGCAGAGTCCTACTACATGCTGTCTACAAGACAATTACTGTATATCTAAAGACTCACAAAGGCTGAAAGGTTAAGTATGGAAAAAGTTATTCCATGAAAATAGTAACCAAAAGAGAGTAGGGGTGGTTATACTATTATCAAACAGAATTACTTTTAGTCAAAAACTGTTAGAAGAGACAAGGAAACTATATAATGATAAAAGGGTCAATTAGCCAAGTAAATGTAACAATTATATTTAACTACCAAAAAACAGAGTTCCTAAATATATGAGGCAGAATTTGACAGAATTGAAGGGATAAATAGATAGCAACACAATAGAAGACTTCAATACCTCACTTTTAATAATGGACAAAACAACCAGACAAAAGATAAATAAGTAGAAGAAGGACTTAACAACAGTATATATCATTGGACCTAACAGACATATGTGGGGCATTACACACAACAACAGCAGGATACACATTTTTCTCAAGTGCACATAGAACATTCTCCAGGTCTCCAGATAGACCACCTGTTAGGCTACAAAACAAGCCTAACAACCTTAAAAATACTGAAATTATACAAAGTATATTTTCTAATCCCAATGGAATGAAACAAGAAATTAATGAGAGAAAGAAAACTTGAAAATCCACAAAACTGTGGGACTTCAACGACACACTTTTGAACATCAATAAGTCCAAAGAATAAGTCATAAGGGAAATTAGATAATACCTTGAGACAAATGAAAATGAAAACACAACAAACTTATAGGCTCTAGCAAAAGCTGCACTAAGAGGGAAGTTTATAGCTATAAATACATATATTTAAAAAGAAAGATGAAAGATCTCAAATCAACAATGTAACTTTATACCTCAAGGAATCAGAAAAAGAAGAACGAACTGAACCCAAGCAAACAGAAGGAAAGAAATGATAAATTTTAAAGCAGAAATAAATAAAATATATAAAATAGATTAAAAAATAAATGAAATAAAGAGTTGGTTCTTTGAAAAGATCAATAAAATTGGTAAAATTAGCTAGATTAGCAAAGAAAAGAAGAGATAAGACTCAAATAACAAAAATAACAAATAAAAGAGGGGACATTACAATTGATGCCACAAAATTTTTTTTAAAGATTATAAGAGAATATTATGAAAGTTGTATGTCAACATACCGGATAAGCTAGAAGAAAAGGACAAACTCCTAGAAACACATAACCTATCAAGACTGAATCATAGAAAAATAGAAAATCTGAATAGACTAATAACTAGTAAGAAGATTAAAGCAGTAATCAAAAACCTTCCAACAAAGAATAGCCCAGGACCTGATGGTTTTACTAGTAAATTCTGCCAAAGATGTAATGAAGAATTAATACCAATACTCTGCAAACTCTTCCAAAGGATTGAAGAAGAAGGAACACTCCCAAACTCATTTTGTGAGATAAATATTACCTTGATACAAAAACCCGACCAACACTCAACAAGAAATGAAAATTTCACTTTGCATGGTACCCTCAATGTCCATCCATGTTGTCACAAATGGCTGGATTTAATCGTTTCTTATGGCTGAGTAGTATTCCATTGTGTATATATACCACATCTTCTTTACCCATTCATCCCTTGAGGGGCATTTAGGTTGCTTCCAAGTCTTGGCTATTGTGAATAACACTGCAATGAACACAGGGGTGCTGGGGGGAGAGAGGAGGGTGAAAGGGATAATTCGGCACAAGTGTGTGGTGATGGGTTGTGGTTAGTATTTGGGTGGTGAACATGATGTAATCTATGCAGAAATAGAAGTATAATGATGTACACCTGCAATTTATACAATGTTATAAACCAGTGTTACTGCAATAAACAAAAAATTTAAAAAAAAGAAAAGAAAAGAAAATTTCAGACCAATATCCCTGATGAATGTTGATGCAAAAATCCTCAACAAATTAACAAACCAAATTCAACAGAAAATTAAAAGGATTATACACCATGACCAAGTGGGATTTATCCCTGGAATGCAAGGATAGTTTAACATATGAAAATGTATCAATGTAATACAGCATTTTTACAGAATAAACGACAAAAACCACCTGATCATCTCAATTAATGCACAAAATCCATTTCATAAGATTCAACACGTTTTTGTGATTAAAACCCTCAATGAAATAGGAATATAAGAAAACTACTTCAACATAATAAAGGACATGTATGAAAAGCCCACAGCTAACATCACACTCAATGGTGAAATCCTGAAAGTTTTTCCTCTAAGACCAAGAACAAAAAAGGATGCTCACTCTCACCACTTCTTTTTATCATAATATTGGGAGGCCTAGACAGAGCAATTAAGCAATAAAATAAATAAAAGACTTCAAACTTGGAAAGGAAGAAGTAAAATTTTCTCTACTCATGGATGACATGATTCTATATGTAGAAAACGCAAAAGATTCCACATAAAGAAACTGTTAGAACAAGTAAACAAATTGCAGGATACAAAATCAATATAATCAACTGTGTTTCTATACACTAACAATGAACAATCTGAAAAGAAATTCAGAAAATAATTCCAGTTACAATAGCATGAAAAAGAGCAAAATACTTAGGAATAAACCAAATGAAAGACGTGAAATAGTTGTACATTGAACACTGCAAAATATTGTTGAAAGAAACTACAAAAGAAGCAAATAAATGGAAAGACATTCTAGTCCATAGATTAGAAGACTTAATATTAAGATCACCTTACTACCCAAAGTGATCTGCAGATTCAATGCAGTTACTACCACAATCCCAACAGCATTTTTTGGCAGGAAAAGAAAAAAAAAACTCAAAATGCATATGGAATTTCAAGGGATCCTGAATAACCATAACAATTTTTAAAAAGAACAAAGTTGGAGGACTCACATTTTCTGATTTCAAAACATATTATAAAGCTAAAGTAATCACAATATTGTGGTACTGGCAAAAAGACAGACCTATAGATCATTGGAATAGAATAGACAGCATAGAAATTAAACCATCATATATATGGTCAAATGATCTACGACAAGGGTACCAAGACCACACAATGGGGAAAGAACAGTCTCTTCAACAAGAATATTCAATAGAAAAAAAGAGATCTCTTCAATAAATGGTTATGGGAAAACTGGATATCCACTTGAAAAAGAACAAAGTTGAACCCTTAAATTACACCATATACAAAAATTAACTCAAAATGGATTAGAGATCTAAATGTAAGACCCAAAACTATAAAACTGTTAGAAGAAAACATAGAGGAAAATCTTCATGACACTGGGTTTGACAATGATTTCTTGTATATGATGCCAATGACACAGGTAACAAAAGCAAAAATAGACAAATGAGACTACACCAAACTTAAACCTTTTGTGCTTCAAAGGATACAATCAACCAAGTGTAAAGGGAATCTACAGAATGGGAGAAAATACTTGAAAATCATATATCTGATAAAGAGTTAACATTCAAAATATTCTGCAACGCAACACAAAAAATCAAGTCACAATTAAAAAATGGGCTAAGGACTTGAACAGATATTTCTCAAGAAATGATATACAAAAAGCATACAAAAGATGCTCAACCTCACTAATAATCAGAGAAATGCAAATCAAAACCACAATGAGATATCACCTCACCCCAATTAGGACGGCTGCTATTTAAAAAAAAAAAAAAAACAGAAAATAACAAGTGTTGGTGAGCATGTGATGAATATAATGTGAACTATTGGTGGGATTATAAAATGGTGCAACCACTCTGGAAATAAGTTTGATGGGCCCTCAAAATATTAAAAATAGAACTACTGTATAATCTAGCGAACCCAATTCAAGTATATATGCAAAATAATTGAAGTCAGTATCTTGAGGAGAAATCTGCAATCTCATGTTCATTGCAGCATTATTCACAATAACCAAGGTACGAAAGCAACCTAAGTGTCTGTTGACAGATAAATGAATAAAGAAAACGTCATATATATATATATGGAATATTATTCAGCCATAAAAATAATAAAATCTTGCCACTTGCAAAAACATGAATGAACCTGGATGGTATTACGCTAAGTGAAATAAGCTAGACACAGAAAGACAAATATTGTATGATCTCCCTTATATGTAGAATCCAAAAATGTCATACTCACAGAAGCAGAGTAGAATGGTGGTTGCCAGGGTCTAGAGGGTGTGGGAAATGGGGTCATGTTGGTTAAAGGGTAGAAAGTTTCAGTTATGCAAGATGAAAAGTTCTGGAGATCTGTTTCACAACAATGTAAATATACTTAATACGACTGACCTATACACTTAAAAATGGTTAAGATGGTAAATTTTATGTTATGTATATTTTACACAATAAAAAATCTTTATAAATTATAACATTTGAGTTTCAAAATCCAAAAAAAAATCATTTTATAAAAATTTGTCAAACAGCATAGTAGGTACACTATATGTACTTTCATTTCTTGAACTGGATATTAACTTTCAAAATGTGATATAACTACTGAAGAGATGGGAATAAAATGCATACCAGAGCAATTCCTGCAGCAAACTTTGGATCACACGCCATTCCATGATATGTTGCTCCTACATAATTAGGATGGTCCTGATATCTAAATAATAAAATTTTTCTTGTGGATAAATGCATTTTAAATTATTAATAACAATGACTTTTTAAGAATTGGATTCCTCAATAAAGCTATGTTTTCTTTAAAACATGAGTGTTACATATCATGTCTAATGCTTTCAATCATTCTGTATTTGGGTAATCTCCCATAGTTCCTACAAAGTTAAGTTCTAAAGGCTACTTTAACATTAAATGATACACAGCCCAAAACCCAGCAGTGCCTAATCCTTCCAAAAAATTAATCACCACTGTTGTTGCCACTGGGTGGATACAATCCTAATATGTAAAAGCCAGGATAGTTTACTGCCATGATTTGCAGTTAGTGAATGCATAAAGTGTGTAAAAAGTGTGGGACGGGAGGACAGGGAGAGAAAGAGACAGAATATGCAGTGGAATCACTAAGAAAAAGAGAGAAAGAATGTAGAAAGTGACCTCACTCATTTTAGTCCTTAGTTAATGTTGCTCTTGAATCTCCAAACCTGACCTTAAATTCCACAGGAGACACCAATAGATTTATAAATGTATTCCATATTATTTAAGATCTTCAGAACTGTTTTTTGAGTTTTTTCATTGAAAATAATCAAATTATCAAAACAAAAATCTATATAAAGACTCTTGAAAGATACAGTACAAGTAGTTAAATAGCTACACCTTAGGTCACTATAGAAATACCAGAAGGTAACCATATTACTATTTAAATGTTTTGTATTGTAACCAGCTTTATTTGCCATTATTGCATTCTGTTAACTAATTTACATTCTATTTAATGTTAAAATGATGGCTTCAGTTATTTACTTCTGAGAAAATCTTTAAAACCATAGAGACCCCATGTTTATGCCAAGGTTTTCATATTTTCCAGTTCATTAAATTTCCATAGATAAACAGTCCACTCTGAGAATAATGGCCTACCATAATTTAGTGTCTTACATTGTTATCGAATTTTTATAATTTACATTTTGCCAACACAGTATTCTTACAATATTTTTTTGAGATAACTTGTTACTATATGTAATAAATTTGTATATAATTTTTATAGCTAACATATCAAATAATTTGATAAACCCTATATCAATGCAAATAAGGTACTTACATTAATAAGTATGCCATATCATGAGACCTTTGTGATAAAAATTTTTCTTTCCATGACACAAATCTTTGTAGTACTTCATCAGCATGCCCATTAGAGGAAATCTTATTTTGATCTGACCAGATCTCTAAAGAAGTTAACATAACAGTCACTTTAAGCTGGGAAATCATCTGAAAACAGAAGATACACGATACACAGTTTTAGGTAATATAACATTGCATGTCTATACATAATGCTAATATATTCAATTTACTATTTTTTTGGAGATGAAATCCACTGGTGAATGAATCTAGTTGGTAGGACTATACTTTTCATAAAAATGCAAATGCTATTTATACAAACAATGCTACTGCATCAATAGAAATATTTCTTATTTAAATATGAAACATAAATACTTACACTGTTGATAAGACTAAAGATATGAACAACTTTCTCAGCTGCAACTGCCACTTCAGAGCCCATGTAATTATACTGAAAGACAAATTGTTGTTTCTTAATCAATAGTAAAAAAGACTAAACTACATCTTAAATGGATATAAAATATAAAATGTTAAAATAATGCAGTGCTCAAGTGAAAGGACAAAAGCAGAATTAAGATGTATCAGGTGCTTAGTAAGTTTTAAGCATAAACCTAGGGACTTCATATATTAATCAATAATATTAAAATGAGATGATTGTGATTACCTCCCTCTTTACACATGCAGAAATTAAGGATCAAAAGTTAAGGTCAAGATTGCAACAAAGACTAAGGGTGAGAATCAGGACTCAAATCTCTAACTAAATTGCTGTCTTTTTTGTCTGCTACACTATGCTCCATCATTTGTCTTCATCCAAATGAGACAAAAGGACTATATAATCTGGATAAACAATGTACTTTGTAAACACAGAGCTCTGAGTGCCATAATAATGAACCATCTAAGAGTATGTCCTCATTCAAGGGAACAAAAGTCATAATATTATCTCTGAAATACTTGTAATTGTGTGTGCACACACGTTTCTAAGTGTCGGCTGAAAACATAAAAAGTGACAGCTTGTGATCTTCAATAATCTCCAGTAAATCTGCGGAAGACTCCTGATAGAAAATAAAATGCAATGGCTAGAGTTTTCTGATACAGACAAAAGAGATGCCATCCCCCTAGCTCTTTAGAGACTCTTTGCACTTTGCTATTTCTCTGTATGTAAACTTCCCCAATAAGCCATACTATATAGTTACACAATGCAGCATGTGTGGTACTAGTGAAGGTGATCCTTTGCACGACTGAACATTTGAAAAGCAAGACAAATGAAAACAAAAATATGGTTTTGGAAATGAATCCACATGTCAATAATCACAAATTATCAACAGACCAACACTAAGCAAATGACAAAGACTAAAAAAATCCACTATAGGCAAATTAAAATTGAAACTCCTAAATTATAAGGACATACAACTATTAAGAGTCAAAGCAAGAAAATATATAACAGGACAATGCCAGACAAAAAGTATATGTTATATTATGCGATAGTTATAGTAATTAATACAATAGTTATATTAATATGAAAAAAGCTTAAAGGCAAAAATGAATATAATAATCACAACATATAAAATATTCAACTCATCAGAAAGATGGATGCATTCTAAACTTTCTTATAACTAATAGCATGCAACATAATACATAAAACAAAATTTAACAGAATTATAAATAGAAATTGATGATCGTAGTGAGGGATTTTTACATAGTTCTCTTAATTATTAAGAGATAAAGCAGGCAAATTAACAGTAAAGATATACAAGATTTTAAACACTCAAGCAAACTTTGGACATGATATGCATATATAAAAGTTAATATAAAACAATGAGATAATATATATATATTTTTTCAAATGTTCATGAAAGTTTTATATAAATTGATTCATATTAGGCCATAAAACAGTTCTTTGAATATAAAACATAGTATGACTTAGATCACATTGTCCAACCACAATGCAATTAAGTTATAGTAGACTTGATTAAAAGTATTTTCATGATAATGTATTTCATGTAATGTATTTTTAATTAGATGGATAACTCCATTGTAGTTATATAACATAATGATCTTATTCTAGGTAAAAGCACACTGAAAAAAAAGCTCCATGATGCAATTTACAATTTACTTTCAAATGGAGAGAGCACAAGTGATAATGTGATACAATATTAACAATAAATCCAAGTAAAGATAATATAGGTGTTCTTTGTATTATTCTTATTCTTGCAACTTTTCTGAAAGTTTGAAAATATTTCCAAATAAAATGTTTAAAGATTTTTTTAGAAGGCTACTGCAGGAGAGAAGCAAGACGGTGGCATAGGTGGACTCTGAACTCACCTCCTTCCACAGACAGTTGTAAGCAGACTTACAACTACTCTTGGAAAAATTATCCCTGAGAGAGAACTGAAAACTGGATAAGAGGAACCCCTGCAAAAAACAACAGTCCCAACTGAGGTGGAAGAGGCAGAAATTCCCTTCTGGAGAGAAAAGAAATACCACCTTCACAAGCCACAACACTTCAGGGCTGTCCAGGAGCAATCCAAAGGTATGCTTCCCTGGATGAGTGGGGAACCTGACCCGAGGAGAATTGCTGCTATAGGTATTTTTTTTGCCCAGCACAACTGAGACAAGTGTCATAATATCTGGCTTTGCTGGCTACTAACAACAATGGGGAATACCCCCAAAAAGCTGAGACACAAAAAAATTATAGCCGGCTCTTAAGGGCCCATGCACAAACTCACCCATTTCAGAAAGCAAGCTAAAATCACCAGAAAGAAAGGTGCACAGTCCTTTAGTGAAAAGAGACTCACCTGATAGGCTATGGGTGCATCTCAGTGAGAAGTGAGATATGTCGAGGGACTAGGACACAGGCGGTGGCCATTGTTGTGACCTGGTGTGGGCGTGCTGACACAGACACCGGCAGACACCATTGGAGTTCTCCCTGTGGGCTGCTAGCCCAGGGTCTGCCCCACCCACTAGAGCACCAATTTAATCCAGCTCAACCAAGGAAAGCAGCCTGCCCTAGGGACTGGACCCACCCAACAACAATCCCTCGGGCAACTTGTGGGCCTGCGTAAGTGAGCTGCCTGGATTCTCTGCAGCCTGGCAAGTGGGCTCACCTCTGTGGGGCGGGGTGTGCACAAGGAGCAGGTGGAGAGTGTGGGGCATTTGTGGAGTGTGTGGGGCCCCAGCCTTGGAGGGACTGAGTCCCCTTCAGGGGGTCAGGGCATGTGCATGAGACAAGACTATGTTGACAGTGTGTGTTGCCCTGTGGGCAGCAGGGCTTGTCAGCTGCAGAAGACTTGTGCTTCTCAAGCAGCCACATAGGGGATTGGCCCCACCTTCCAAAGCCTGAAACAATTGGGTGGTCCCATGCCAGGGGCCAGCCCTACCCAACTGCAATCCGCAGAGAGCTGACAAGAGCCTTATGGGCCAGATGCTTAAAACAATTGTAAGCCTCTGAGCCTAAGAACCAGCCATGCTGGGAGCCTACTCACTCAATAGAAAAACTGCAACAGGAATGTGCTATTAGACCTTGTAGCCAACTTTGCTGGGGCTCCCCACACCTGACAAAGAGAGCAAAGGGCCCACAACAACCACACACAGATGAGCATTACAACCAGCCAGCCAGGGGGACAGCTCAGCCACCTAGGGCAAGAACAAGCCTGCCACGACAGAAGGACACATGTAGCCCACCCAGGAATCACTCCTGAAACATCTTGGACTGGTGACAAGAGAGAAGCACACTGCTGGGCCTCATAAGGCGTCACTGACATAAGGTCACCTCTCCAAGATCAGGAGCCACAGCTGACCTACCTAATACATAGATACAAGCACGAGAAAGAGGCAAAATAAGGAGGCAAAGGAATACGTTCCAAGTAAGGGAACAGGACAAAACCCCAGAAAAAGGAACTAAATGAAACAGAAATGAGCAATCTACCCGACAGTTCAAACAAAGAGTCATAAGGATGCTCACTGATCTTGTGAGAAGAACAGATGAACTTAGTGAGAATGTCAACAAAGAAATGGAATATATAAAAAAAAGAATGAATCAGAAATGAAGAATACAATACTGGAAAAGAAAAATTCACTAGAGAGACTTAAAAACAGAGTAGAGGATAGTGACGTCAGCATCATGGCGGAGTGAGCTTTCCCGTGAACTCTTCCCCCACAAGATACAACAAAAG